CTCTAAGGCAAACATTAGCAACTTTCTACTTTTATTTCTGTAATTATCTCAGTAAGCCTTTTATGGTCCTTTATTTGCTTTGGATTGCTTTTGATTTGGCCCTGAATCCATTGAGTGGAAAAGTTACTGCCTAGCATTTAATGCTTTTAACTTGCTATATTTGATATCCATCATAACATCACTTGTGTAGTCAAATTGGTCTGCTAAAAATGATTTTTTTGGGTTTTATTATAGTGTAAAGTGCTCATTTTGGCAAAATAATTTTGTCCTTTGTAACCAAAGCAAACCAATTTATGTGTAACAATACTTTTGCCTGTATATAACGAGATGGAGTATTTAAAAAGGTTAGTATCAATAACCAGGGATAGCAGCCTGGTCTAGAGCTAACTACAGGGAACCAAATCAAATGCTCCTATAAGTTAAGAGCAGCTATATAGGCCTTGCTGAATAACATACTCAAATATTAAGTACACAATCCTAAATAAAATAGTTTCCAAAGGAGTAGCCCTAATATTTTGATGCTGCAAAGCTAATAAAAGGCCATCGTACAGTATCCTGCTGCTAGATCTCACTTTTTCCACCAAGATCAACAACTTACCTTGCCCCCTTTGGCCTTAAAACATACAAATGGGAAATGCTGTATAACAAGTTTTTGGCACCATGCGAGGCTGCAGTAAGAAAAATGTTGAAGCTGAGTCCGTATTCTTCTGGGTTTGGATACCAGAGTAAGCCCATTTGAATCAGTGGTGTATATATAGAGGTGTTGGTTCATCAAATCTCCACTGATTCAGTGGGTCTACTCTAGTACAACTTATGCAGTCATCAACAGGATCTCAGCCTATATTTTCCATAGATCTTATTGAGCACTCAAGGTTATGTCGTCTGGCCATAGTGGTTGGTGCATCCTGGGATTTGTAGTTCACTAACCAAAATGGTCAGATGTTTGAAATGGTAGGAGTAAGGAACACAGTGGAAATAACGGGGTGGATTATATCTTGAAAGGCCATGCAAGCCATAGAGTTTCTGAGACTTTAGTTCTCTAGCTCAAAAGGACAGATCTATGAAATGGCAAGAATTAGAAAAACAACAGTTTGAATCGATAATGGAATACTCTGGGAGTTATATTCTTCACACAATATAACTTTTTATTGAAATAGTAAGATAGCAATTAAAAACACTCTACGAATGTTACTTATTTCACTCCTTCCTACCACTTTGAAAGACCCCTACTAGTGTGAAATGTGTCTACCCCCTTGGATACAGGATAGTCCATTGGGATAGTTAATCTGCTTGATGTACCTCATTAATCTCATGTTTAACTATACCTCCCTGGTACAGAAAGAGACAGTAAAAAATAAGGGGCGTAGGAGATAAGACAACAGGGTTAGGATGGGACTTAAGGATTTCTAAACCAAGCAAAGCTGGACACATTTGCTAATTAATAACAATTTCCACCTGACATATATGTTAGTTTATTATGTGCTACATGTTAGAGGGGGAAAAGCTGATAGATTTTCAGTGAAGGAGTAAAGTCAGAAGGCAATGAAGAAAATGGATGCTGATCCGATGGATGGGTATAGTTGCAGGAAAAAAATGCTGTTAGTAAGCTGAGGTAATGCAAAGCTGTGGGATGCAGAGTGGAGTGTATTTTGTAGCTATTATACTTGGGAGAGAATCTGTGGCATGCTGCAGTATCTACAAACTTCCTATCTATTTTGCCACAAGCAGGATTTCTAAGCCTGACATCTGTGGATGGAACTAGAAGCGGAATTGTATGCATCTCATCTCTCAGACTTTAAGGAAGGAGACATCTCTTCTGAGTTCATAGGTGAGAGAGTTGTGATGTGGCCAGTTCAAAAAAGAGACGGATACCCATATTTCATAGATAACACAGCAGGAGTGGAGCCATTGTTTCTTGCAATGCTGATCTTCATTGCTAATGGTAAATATATAACTATTCTGTTTGTAAGCCTTTTCTCCCCTTCCTTTCTGTATCTTTTTCTCAAACTATCTCTGTATTTGCAGCTTTTAATAAAGCAACATTGGGAAACAATGGATCTGAGGGAGTGACATCTAGTACATGCTCCCAAACTATGCTTTGTATAAGAAGGATGCTGAGAATGATCCACAATTAGGGGCTCGTGATTTCTGGGTTTTGGCCTGGTGTGAGGGTTGTCCAAACATTGTGAACCACTGGGTTTCAGCAGTGATTTGTCATTAATCACAACACATAATGACAAGAGGTCTCTAAACTCTATGTACTCTTGTATAATCCTTATGTTTCCTTCACATCCATCTTTTTCCCTGCTTGTCCTTGTGATTTGGCACTTATCCAGTCCAAAAGCAGGTGTGGGAAGAGTTCCAAGGGACACACAGATGTTCTATTCTGCCACTCCTTTTCCATTTAAATTACACAGTTGCTGTATTTTGCAGGTACTTGGTAAAGATTTTGGTCTCAACTGTTTGCACCCTCACCAAACACACTTCATTTTCTGTCCTCTGAGTGTTCTATGCTAAATTCCTCATAAAGCTGATAAAAAGACATATCTTTTTTTCTTCCTTGTAGGGAACAGGTTTCTCTGTGTGAAAGGCCTAAAATTTACCATTTTCAAACCCAGCAGAAAACAGTTCCAGTAGGTGTAAGGCAATTCTTTGTTGTACTGCCATTTACAGTACAACAGTACATGATCCAAATAGAGCACAGGCCTTCATTTGGAGCAGCTAATTGTATTTCTAATGCAACTAAATTTTCAGTGTCCAACTTTCTCTGACAGTTTGTCCATCTCTCACAGTGGCATCTGGAGTAAAACCCAAAGCATGAGATAAGTTAGCACTTACTTTTTTCCTAATTGCTTTTGTTGACTGGTTGTGCATTTGTTGTAAAGGTTTTAATTTTCAAATCAGATGAATCGGTAGTAATGAACAAGAGAAGCTATTTGAAGAGATTCTTGCTTTTTATAAACCAGGGCAAGAAAATACTTTCCTCAAAATATTAGAAAACCTTCAAAAGAGGCTGTGTGTATTCCACTGGAGAGTGACTGAGCTCTGGCCTATAGATCCTAGAAGATTTCCTGAAAAGAAAAATGGGCCTTATTGCAAAAAGTTGCCCATCTCCTCTAGTCTAAACTTTCACACATAGTGTTCTTTTCTTGTAGAAAACTGTGAGATCTCATGTGAGTATGAGGAGGAGATTCCTCAAGAGGATGAATCAGAGGATGTGCAGCCAGATGTGGTTTCCCTAGGGCAAGTGGAAGAAAATGCTTCTTATCCGCAGGGGAAAAGCCTTTGACGATCAGCAAGGGCAAAATATTTGCCCCAGCAAGCACCAGAATGAAACCATTAATCCAGAAGGAGGTAGGGGAGTCCTTCAAGGAAACATTTCCCCAGCTGGGATTCCTTTTGGGGCAGAAATATTCAGCTATACTGAATGTGAGGGGACTATGCAGAAGAATTCAAATGTTATCGCACACTCTGAGATCTCTCCGGCAGGGCAGAAGCCTCATAAATGTACTGAATGTAGCAAGAGCTTCAGCTGGTGCTCAGACCTTATTAAACATCAAAGAATCCACACGGGGCAGAAGCCCTACATATGTAGTGAATGTGGAGAAAACTTTACTGTGAGCTCTCATCTTTTTACACATAAAAGAATCCATACAGGAGAGAAACCCTTCCTTTGTACTGTGGGAAGTGTTTCAGTCGGAACTCACATCTTATTAGTCACCAGAGAACACACATGGGAGAGAAGGCCTTTGAATGTGGTGAATGTGGCAAAAGTTTCAGTGATATTTCAACACTTACTCAGCACCAGAGAACTCACACTGGTGAAAAGCCATATATGTGTGTTGAATGCGGAAAAGGCTTTATTCAGAGTTCACATCTCATAAGGCATCGGAAAACCCACATGGGAGAGAAACTTTATCAGTGTGCTGAATGTGGGAAAGGTTTCCGCTACAAGATCCATCTTGTACAACACCACAGACTTCATAATGAATAGGAAAGGAAGAGAAGGAGGAGTTATATGGGATAATGAAGTACAGACAAAAAGTAACAGGTATTTTTATAGTTAACACAGGACAACACTGATGGCAGCTCCATGGTACAGATTAGTGTTTGCCAAAGCAAATGTATGAACTATGGATAACATAGATCTGGGTACATATGTTTGGAAACCAGCTAAAATTGCTTCAAGATCCAGATTGATCAGTGTTTAAACATATAGTACATAACACACTTGCATGTTGTAATAGACACTTGTGAGTACGTTTTCAGCAGTGTTACTCAAGAACTCCCCCTCTCGATATTTCATGTCAGATATTCTGTTGGATGATGGAGTGACTGAATGTTGTTCTGTGGTCATGTGACAGGCTGGCAGAGGAGGGGAGTCAGTTCTGAATGGGAATATAGGTCCTTCCAGAAGCTACTCCTTAGAGTACAGTTGATGAGAAGACATATTTTATGTCCTTATTCAGGCAGAGAATGTGTGCTGAGTTTTGTGGTTAATATTTTTGGAAGTGCGTCCTTTCGACTAAGAATGTGTGCTGAGTTTTGTGGTTAATATCGTTCTTGGAAGTGCCTCCTTTCGACTGGGACTGTGAAAGAATTAACACAGTATTTCTACAGACTGGACTTTTCAAATATTTCATATATTTGTCTTTTTTTATGAGTTCAGCCAGACGTGAGTGGTAGCTGGGTCATATTGGAAATGTAGCAGGTTTCGGATATGTTAATAAATGTTCATTCTTTTTAAATAAAAAACTTCATTGTAAAAAGATAGGTATTATTCCATTTTTACTCCTAGGATTGTTTTCTTAGTTAAATGTATTGAAGATATTTGGTATGTAGTCAATGTCTTATACAGTTTAGTATGAAGGGGAATGAATGACAATAGTATTAGATGATGTCACATAGGATTTCCTTATAGAATCAGCAGAAACGAAGAATATTTTGTGGATTCTATCACTGGTGCTCCTTGCGTTTATTTGATTTCTACCCCACCCCCCTAGAATCAGCAGAAACGAAGAATATTTTCTGGATTCTACCACTGGTGCTTCTTGCACTCAGGAAAATAATACATTGGGAAGAAGATTAAACTAAACCTGCCTCCTCGCCATGCACTTTACGCATGGGCTATAGGTTGGGTTTTTGTGTGTCTGTGTGTGTGTCTAGGAGCTGTATCTAGAGGTGTTTTGCTACATGAAAATCATTGCCATTTGATTTTTCTGTTTTTTTTTTAATTGGCCCTCAGAGCCACACTGAAAAGCATGCTGCCTAAATTGTAGATGTTCAATCATGTAATCAAGCATAGCAGTTCAGAGATCAGTAGAAGCTTTCTTAACTTTTACCAGTATAATTAAGACAAAGGAATGTTGTTATGTTACAGCTGTTAAAAACTGCAGAGATCCTTGGTGATCTATCGCACGCACCCAAATATGTACCAGTAAACCTGGTAATACAGAGCTGTATTCTGGCCACCTTTGTGTTCAGATACATGAGCGTCAACAGAAACACAATACAGTAGTTGTAGCAGTCCTGTATTCATTCTTCTTGGGGAATTAATATTCTGATGAATCACTGTTGCCCTTTTTTGGTATCCCATAATTGGGAGTTTGAATTATGTGGAGGAGGGTCCCATCAGCAGAGTGGACAATGGCCCATGTCAAACCATAGGTAGGATAGGCTTTTAGAATTTTTTAAAAAACCATTATCTGTTAATAAATAGAATGGCTCCATTACAACAAAGCAAAACTTTTTGTATCTTTTATTCATGTATTTCAGTATTTAGGTTTCCCTCTTCAGAGGCTCTATTGCATGCTACTATCCTGTGGTTTCTACAGCCTACATAGCTTGTCAACGGAGGTCAGCTTTAGGCAGCCTTGCTTTTCAGGGATGTTTCCCCCATCAGTGTAGCAATCCACTGGCACGTACGCTTCCTTGCTTCCTCCCATTTGTAGCGTGGCTTGTAGCCAAAATCCCTTTGTGCCTTCTTGTAAGAAAAGGTGAATGGGGTGTTTGTCAAAGTCAACAGGTGGCGATTCACAGGAGGGATGTATTTCACCAAAGGCCGGAGCAAAAAGCTCACGATCTCCAGGAACAGAGCATACCAGTAGAGCATTGTCAGGGGCATAGCTAGTTTGGGTTCAATGCTAAAACCCAACTGCTTAGCCAGCTCATAATTTAGGTCTGAGTAGCTTACATGGGGAGTATCATCTGAAATGTAGTAGAATTGTCCTCGGATCTGCTTGACTTTTTCTGGATCCTTCATGGCTTTAGCTGCTTGAATGTGAGCCCAAGCAATGTTCCCCACATAGGCTGGATTTACTAGAGCCTCCTTCACAGACATTCTGAAGAAAACGTTATTGTTTCTGATGGCGCTTTCAACGTGCCTCTGAAGGAAATTGCTCCCTTCTCCATAGATGTACATGGACCTCAAAGCACATGTCACAAAGGCGCTGCCATCCTTCAACGGTAGGCCGTCCATCTCTAGTACAGATTTCTCAGCCTCCTTCTTGGTTTTAGCATAGGGAAGGCTATTGGTGCTTTCATACACAGTGTCTTCATCACCATCATGGATGGGATCACGTCTGCTGTTTGGACCCATAACTTCAAGACTGCTGGTGTAGATAAAATACTGGACATCATTGCGGAGGCAAATTTCCAACAGCAGTTGTGTACCTTCAAAAAAAAAAAGACTTTTTGTGATGACAGTGGGGTGCATGCACAGAAACAAGGATGATCATGCCTCTTTCATACCACCACAGAAGATATTCTCTCTAGTCTAATCAACTACCATAATATGGAATGACACAAAGGCTACAGAATCTCCTAGTCCCACTTTCTAAGCCAAAGCAATATTACATTTCCCGTAAGGGCGTGTGATGGGTAAAATGACACATGTTACCAATATTATTCATGACTAAGAAGACCTGATACAAAGGAGGGGACAGCAGGAGATGTACACCTTTTAAAATTGTGGACGTATGTACTGACTCTTTCGGGACAAAATTCTGCTATCCCCTTTTGCATTAGGCCATGCAAGTTGCCTAGCAAACACAGATGATCCTGATTTTGTTGTCATTACCCAGAGCTCCCTGTCACAAATGAACATGGCATGTATGGGAAGTCATGTCATACATAGCTAGGAAGTCTGAAAGTGAACAGGAAAGGGCAGTCAGTCAGTCAGTCAGTCTTGTGACTTTCCCCTCTGGACACCACCATCAAGAACTAATATGTCTATGTGGAAAATGAGGGTGGCCAGAAATGGTAAAGCAGCTGTTGCGACACTGAAATCCAAAGAGCCAGGAAGGCTGTTCAAGAGGCGTGTTGACAGATAAGTTGAGGGATTTCTGCTGCAAGGAGTGAACATGAGGGATCTGTTGGCTTGAGGTCAGGCATGTGCAACTGGTTGTTGGCACCATAGGCTGTGATTGGTTGGCTCCTCAAGGAATGTTCTACATGTTATGCAACAATAGGGGGTAGAACATTACTCAGCATCAATGATCCGCCTAGGTACTAAATAAAAACATCAAAAAATGGGGCTGTATTAAACGCTTTTTCTCATTGGGCTGGGCTGCTATATGCAAACTGTTAAGTGCAAGGGTCTATTCAAACATGCAACCTTCTGCAGTCTTTGGTGCTTGCAGTCCTCTACCCTTTCATTCACCCCTCTCCCTATTTGTTTCACAGCCTTTAAAGTCCCTGACCATGTACAGCCGCTCGCACTGCAGCAGAACAGAGTCTGCCCCTGTATCCTTATTTCATCTTGTAGTTTATGCAGACCCAGTTTTGTAAAATAGCTATGAGGGGTGCAGGGGGAAAGGTTACCCTTGCCAGGACCATAGAAAGAAGCAGGGGCAATGGAAACTATAGTTTGTGTTGAAGCACAAGCAGGAGGATGAGGAAAGCCTGGGAAACAGAAAGCGGTAGTGTGGAAGGCAGACTATTAGGAAGCCACCTGTTACAGCAATATAGCAGCCACATCCCAGCAGGAAAAGATGTGGTACTTTTTGGTTGTGGCACCAGAATGCCCTGTCATATGGGCTGGTTTCTAAAAAGAGAAGTACTGCTGAAGGGTGAAGCAACTTCATGCCTTTTTTGGCAATAAGCTGTAAAAAATTCAGAGGTGAAGGAAAGACATGTCTGCATATGTAGGAAAACCTCTTCTCTGGTATTGCTTCTCAGCTTCTAGGACTAGCCTCAGCTTAAATGAAATCTTTGTTCCCATCTTGACTAATGTTTCACCTTTAGTTTTTAATAATTCCTGATGCTTCTGAGAAAGAAACCTCTTTTTCCCACTCATTTAAAAAAAAAAAACGAAATTGAATTGATCAGCCTTCTAACTGCACAGAAGCAATTTCATACGCCTTGTCTAAGTCCCATCCTGCACAAGCATACGAACCATGGTTTTGCCCCAGAGCAGTCTAGGGTTACCTTTGACATTGATATCCCAGAGTGTCTGCTTATCTACAAGGCCCAAGATGTCAATGATACAAGCTGTGTGGATGACGAGCGAGACCCCTTGGACAGCCGTCTGAACCGAGGCTGCATCCCGGATATCGCCTGGCAGGATGGTCAGGACACTTTTAGTCTTCACTTCTGGAGGAGAAGATGACATCAAACAGAGTGATGATCAGCTCTGGGTTGGATTGCTTTAATAAAGAATACCTAATCAAGGCCACACCGTACTAGCTAAAGGAGTGCCTTTGCTGTGTGATATAATCAGTCTGCATAAAGAAGGAACCAAAATAAAAGGGCAGTTTTTTTGTAGGACTATATGTTACAAACAATATAATACAGTCCAGTACTGCATTTAACACATTCAATGCAGAACGTGAAGACGGCCTGTGATAAAGAAGACAAATCCCGTTAACTCAGGACAGTTTCCACATGTCATGACATAAACTTTTATCACGATTGGGAATATGCAGATTGGTATGCTTTGTTTAGTAATTGGTCTTTTGGACCAAAGCATGACGTCTTTTTTCACAAGCCCTCCCACAACCCTGTGTCATTTTTCTCTCTGCAATATTAACATGCTTTCAGCTCCAATTACAGGTATTGCTAATGTCTGTTTCTGGCTTTGAATCAGACCAAAAGTGGAAATGGGCAATTGTTCCTAACTCTGGGATAGATTGTGGCACATCTCTCTTCACTTTAAAAATCTGTTATATACATTATCATGATGAGCACATGTCAGCCGGGAATTTCATAACCCATGGCCACGGTTAGCAAACGAACATGTTTAGTGTGCTGTCTTTTGTATGTTTTTTTTAAACAAACCAACAGTGCTGATGGAATTGATAAGTTATCACTCAAGAGCAAATTAACTAACTGGAACAAATACATCAAAACCTATCCTTCATGCTCAGACTGAACTTCCATGGTAAGGGTGTGACTAGACAGTCCATTGATCTCGGCTTGGATCAGTCTACTAAATTGGGTCATTTTGAGATATGGTATGTCATTTGGGGCAAACCTTGTAGCCACATGCAAGGACTGACCATAGCACCCCTCAAGTGACCCATTATCTAGAGTAGACTGATCCTTCCCTTCAAATGGGAAAACACACAAAATCAAGAAAAAATCCCCCTTCTATCTTGTCCTCTGTGCTTAGCTTAAGCAATTTAACAATCTTGAGAAATGGGAAACTTTCTTTGCCCTCACCTGCAGAGGGGAAGGAAGTTTTCCATTTCTTTATAATTATTGCTAACTGACACAGCCTTGAAAGTGCTTCTCTTTTTTAAGCCTTTTTAAGGCATTGCTGATGCATTAGCAACAATTGAAATGGAAACTTTCCTCTCCCTTCCTCATGCAGCTGAGTGGCCAGGAAGCTTTCTATTTCTTAAAATCTTTTAAAGCCTCAGCAAAGAGACAGCCAAGCAGCCACTTTGGTTCAATCCCAGAGATCACACACACTGGAACTGAATGAAAACAGAGCAACCCTTCACCCCACACACACACACAAAAAGCCTCTGAAATGGACCCAAAAACTGTGAGTTAGCATTGATTGGAGTGGGCTGGTTCACAGTGGTACATATGCCATATGGATACTGGAGCAGACCAGCCTATTCCCAATGTAAACCAAATTGTGGGACAAATCCTCATCTGATCACACCCTAAATTCTTTTCCAAAATATCCTCATGTAGATTAAGTCTTACCTGCCTCATGTAGGTCTTTGGATCCCTTTTAAGAACTACATCAGGAAGGACAGATAAAAGAGTTGTGAATGTCTCTTGTCACTCTCCTACACAACTTCAAACAATCTTATGCAGTCCGGCAGACTTCAGATTATGCAACATAACGTGTGCTGTGATCCTTTGCTGTCAGTGCTAACAGTCAACAGAATGCAAACGTCTGCTGAGTAAATCTGTCAGAGTGTGATGTACCTCCATAGACATAATAAAAAGTACACTCTCCACAGCCAACATTATATTAAAAATCAGATTATCCATTACCCAAACACAAGGAGTGCCAGCATCCTCTACTGACCTTGGGAGGAGCAGCTGATTAGAGCTGGCTTGGGTCTTTCAGAAGAATGGAGGGAAGGGGACACTTCTATTCCCCAAACACCCCACATCCTCCTTTGCTGAGCCCTCTTCTGCAAACTCTGATTTTATTTATTTATTTATTTATTTAATTTATACCCCACCCCTCTAGACCATGTCTACTCGGGGCGGCTTACAACATAAAAATC